GCAAATTACACTTTAAATCCAACCAGTCTTCAAAATCCTTGCAAAAGCTGCATACAGGACCAATCTTCTGTTTTGCTGGATACCCATCGTTGATTTTGACAATTCTGAGGCGAGGGCGGCTGAAACAACACGATCCACGTTTCGTCCGCTCCAGCTGGCTCGAGTCAGCAAACTACACATTACTCCACACAAAATGACTCCCCTGTACCGCTATTCTTCACGAACATTGCTTGAGTATTAAAAGCCCATTTAAGGACGTAAAACTCACCAATAAGGAGAAGTATCAAGGATATTTTCGACCTTAAAACGAAGCAAAACACCGATCTCAGAGAACTGATCGATCGAAGGATAGCACAGCCCGATGGTAATGACCACTGACCAGTTACTGTGACGTCAGAAAACGTATTTCCGCGGTGTCGTAGACGTCACAATAGCCGCTGGACCCATTCTCCTCAAACTCGGTCGTGAAACAAAATGGTGATGTTTTGGGGCTATTTTCAAGATTTCGTCGGGGCACAGAAAATCGAGGATTTAGCCGAATCCAAAAATTTTTTCGCAGAAGTATTTCAAATAACATGTAGATTCGTTTTAGCGAAAAAAAAAAATTGGGGGGTTAGGTGCACTTTAACCTTGTCTCTTTTCTTGTGGAATGCAGAGATCGCTGATTATGGATACCCCCAGAAGACTGACACTGCTATTTTGAAAACATTTATCACTCAGCAAGGTATCAAGACACAGGCAAGTCAAAAGCTGATTTTAATAACAAAATTTGGGGTCCAAAAAGCAAGGGCCAACTATTTTTAAAAATAAAATATGCGGGTTTAGAGCTAAATTTGAATTTCTGTGGGACTAGCTAACCAAGGCCAGAGCTTAATCCAATGTCCATAGCATTAAGAAGTACTTAATTATTTCTGTAATGCTGGTCCATTGCAAGGGGTTATCCCCAGCATTAAATTCACCAGAACCTTTCCCATTTACAGACTAGGAGGGACAGAGGAACTATGAGAGTAGAGTGTCTTGCCACCAGCACTTGAATCTGTCCAAAGTCCATCCCATTAGGCAACTGCACATCCCAATCAAGGCTAAGCACCATCTAAATTGTATAATTACTACATCATCTACATCATACATGTAGGCATAACAGGTGTGACCACTGGTTATAAAGTAGTTTACACACTCTTACGTGAACTTTCTATGAATGGTCAGTTCTAACTGGTTTGCTTGCAGGCTTCGTATATCAAAATGTGGTTTATCAAAACAAACAAGAAGTTTAAGAACCAACCAAACTGCGTCATATTCCAAACAGTTTGGCAGAGATA